CGCGGGGCCTCATCCCCCCCGCCCTTTCCCCCCCCCCCTGAGCAGATGCCCTCGCGCCGGGGCCGCGGACACCCATGAGCTGACCCTGCGGCTCTGCCAGCAACACTCACCCCGCAGGGAGGAGACGGGGGATCCCGCGGGTCGGTCCCACATCCCGGCCGGGTCCAGGCTCCCCTGGCACCCCCCAGCACGAGCGGGATCTGTCATTCAGGAGGGAGAGCAGCAGGCACCACGGGGGAGAGCAAAGGGGTATTTCCAGCAGACGAAGTGTGAACCAGCTGCTGACGGTGTTCTCGGGCAGCTCCTCGCTGGGAGCGCAGCAGCAGCCCCCGGATTTCGATATCCCGCTGAACTGGGCTCAAGGACCTGTCTGAGGACCGATCATCGCACCAACAGCTAACACAGTGTTTAAAACGCCAGGATCCAACGTGAACAATTAATAATTGTTAATTGCTTATGGGGTAGACACGGAAGTTCTGCAAGAAAAAATAAAAAATATGATTAAACTCCCTAAATGCTCGCTGTGACTTATCTGCTCAGCTGCAATCAGGAGGTGCATTAAGTATTTAATAATGCAATTATTTGAAAAAGATTTTAAGACACTTTTGTGAAGATTTACCACGTAAGCAGGGATTCCAGCGGTCAAGCAGCAATGCCCCGGGCGGGGAAATCATTCTATTTAATGAAGCTGTTTTAGACTGCGGCGCTCTCCATCACTGCCCGGCGCAGGGCTCCCCGCAGCCCCCGCCGGCCACCAAACCCCTGTCAAAAGTCAAATATTTTATTTCCTCTCTAAAGTGCCCAGGCTGGGCAGTGACTCCCCAAACGCCTGTGGTCGCAGCTGGGTGCTGGCAGAGCAGAGCAGAAAGAAATAATCCCTTTCTTCCTACAGTCTGAAAATTTCACTTTTTAAAACCCTCCTGATTTTTTTTTTTGTTTTGTGGTTTAGTTTTCTTCATGGATCTGCCTTCATACGATTTTGTGCAAAGAATTTTTCTTGTTCACAGCGTTGTCACTGACACACGGGGAGCTGCTGGAAATTTCAACTTTTAAAATTACCAGCGATAAAGCCATGGCACAATGAGGGATGGAGAGATTTTCCAGGAAGACTCAAATCTATAACTTATACTGAGAGACGCCCTGAAAAGAGGGATTTCAAGCACAAAGCGTTTTCCTACACCCAGAACTGGGCTGAGCAGCTCACACATCATCAGGCACACCTGGGCTCTACATAAAGCCTGTCTGATGGGGATAAAGGGACACGAACAGGAAACATTTCAAACCTGGTGGCAGCACAGATGGGGAGGCATCCCGACGCTCACCGACACATATTGCTGCAACGATTTCATGGATCTCACCCATCACCCGAGAGCTGCACGGCCTCAGCAGCCCCCCTGAACGTCAAACACACGGACCGTTATCCACCCAGAGGTTTTTATTCTTCTCTGGCTAACTGCGCAAAATCTAAATCCGCCTGGTAACTGCTACGATGAGAAGGCAGACCTGGAGCAGAAGTCAGTCATTTCCCTACGCTCTTTCAAAAGTTTGGTTTCTAGTGAAAACCAACCAAACAAAACCAGGTTCCCCTTTCCCCTCTACACCCGCTCACCTCAGCGGGGTTCGTGCAGGTTTTGTTTGCCACAGATTCAGCCCGTGCTGAACAAAAACACTGCCTGCTACCAGGGTTTGAGGAATATTTTAATAAGCAAAATGTCCAGTCCCGATTACAGCTGTAGCCTGCAGTCAGAAGCCACACGACCCTCAGCATTACACAGATCTTGTGCTTTCTTGCAAAGTTCCAGGTAAGGCTACGGTCAAAGCTACAGAGCTCAGTAAGAACATTCAAATTTTTCCATGGTATATATTTTGCCCACAAGCTGTATTTTTAAAAACTTGTCCTGTTGCTCAGGTTTACTTTCATTTTCTTGTATTGCTTTATTTTATTACAAAACTCCACCATCTTCTAAGAAAGTTAAGACCTTTTAATGTCAGTATTTATTTTAAAGCTAGAATACTTCACGTACAATGACATTCCCATTTTTTTCAAATTTAATTACTTTAAACTGCAATAATGACGTCCTAACGAGTAAGTTTACACAGACGTATTCTAAAAAAGCACCTTTCTGTAGAACAGAACTCCGCCCCGTCCCTCGGATCCCCCCACGCCGCTGAGCCAGGTAACCGGAGCATCAGCCTCTGCCCGACCCCAAGCAAAACACTGTCCCGCGACGGCTGCTGCCGGGGGGACAGAGCCAGCTGCTGTGGGACGGGAGCAGGATCAGCGGCCACACAGACCCACATCCCTCAGGGGTGACGCTGCCACGCGGCAAAAAACTCCACTCGAGGCTCCAGCACGACTCTGGCACTTTACGCCTGATCTTAAAGTTAAATGGCCCAGAGTGCTGAAAGCAAAACACATCAGCGCAGCAGCGGGGTTATTTTAAGGCAGTCTGAATGACGGTTATGTGGAAATTCAGCATTTTATTAAGTACCCAGATACACTGAACGCTGCAAAAACGAAGAAGTATTTCTCAGCGCAAAGCCTTTTGCAGAGTTTCCATCCTCACGCTGCTGCAGCCCTAGCTCTTCTTCCGCTTCTTCTTGGGAAGCAGTTGATCATTCTCTGGCACTGGGGGCCAACGTGACTTTCTTTTGTGAACTCTCAGATCCAGAAAATTGCTGCTGAAAAAAAAAAAAAGAAAAGGGAAAAGATGGTTTGGAAGATGCTCTAAACACAGCAGCCACCGAAGGCTGCATTGAAGCGCGGTAAGCAGCGTGCGGGCATGCACAGATGTGTGCGTTACTGCTGATGGTGACGAGGAACACTGCTCTGTCGTCGTGTTCAAAGACAACAGCACCCACAAACCATCCCGGTCACCCCCAGCCTGCAGGGACGGGCCGCGGTGCCTCTTCCCCCAGCACCAGGGACCAGCCTGGAGCAGAAGGAGCAGCAGCCACCTTTCCAATTCCTTGCCCGTAAATGAGCAGAGCCCTTGGTGCTGATGAAGCCACGATGACATTATATCAGAGAAGGTTGACTTCAAACAGTCATCCTCAGCGGCAGAGCCACCGAGGACAGGGACGGTGGGTTTGGTCACAGTTTCCCAAGAAGGAAAGCGCGTGGGACTCCCATCTTTGAACAGACTTGCTCTTCTCATTTATGGACAAAGAATTTTCCACTGGAAAAATCAAAGAAGTGTTTTCTTTTTAGTCATAGAGTTAATTTTAACAACAAAAAAAAAAAGGTTAAACTAGCCACATTTAAATTAAGCCGCTAATTTCCATCATTCAGCCTTGGAGCTCAAAATTCCACATACTGTTGACATGAAAGATATTGCCCATCCATGAATAGCTACCACTAATTAAACATTCCTTAAAACGCACTCTTTTACCATTTGCTGGGATGAATCCATCCTGCATGGACTATTCACTTGGCTTAAGCTGGGAATTCACAACTGAAAATAACAACGGAACACTCAAACGCCAGAGTCCGTGTCTCTGTTGAGTGCTGCAAGATCTCTCCTAAAGAGATTACCAGGAACAGCTCGTATGGCAGAGCTCAGCTCAGCACCACGATGGACACGGAGCTCCTGCGTTTTGTGTAACAAGGCAATTTCCGAGCGCAGGGTCCGTGTCAGTGTAATGCTAATTGCTTATCAAGCCACGAACCTGCAAAGTCTCCAGCGTTTGCCTAATCCTGTGTGCCAGCACCGCACCGAAGCCAACAGAGCCGTTCAGATGGGTGGCTGCTCCCAGGAGCACAAAGATGCTTGTTCAGGATCAGGAACTGAATTTATATTTGAAGGATTCAAACCTTACTCTGTTTCTGAACATCATGATAAAACCACTTGTCTGCCAAGAAAAATCCAGTTGCCAACAGCATGGACTAACAAATAAGTGTGGTTCATCAGGAAAAACAGGCAACGATTCAAGCATAGCTATTCAACTCCAGGAACAGGAGGCAGAGATTACAGAAAAAAAGACTCGGCTGAGATGCCTAACAGGCTGCAACCGCGGAGCCAGGCAGGGCTGCAGGAAACGCGCTCTTCTGAAAGCAGCGAGTCACTGCCACAGGTCGAGCGTCTCCCTAAATGCACCTGGCTGACACCCAGCATCGTGCTGCTGCGGGACCGCTGCTTGGACACTCTCCAGGAGCTAACGATGATTTGGATCGGGTTAGGTGTGTTCTTTGCCCAAAGAAAAGTGAAGTGGTCTATTTTAATAACTACAGAAGAGGGAAGGAGTATTTAACTCCAAACTGTCATACAGTGGAATATTTTAAAAGCAGGTGTAAAAAACGCCTCTCCACTGCACAGCTGAAAAGACACAGTGAACCAGGACAGAAATGAACGTGTTCTGATCTCATATGCTTTCCATATCCCAGAGCTTTCTTTTTAAGAATTAGGGCAATATTCGGGGTCTTCCAAGCCCTGCACAGCACTGCGAGGCGTTTCAGAAGGTCTGAGCGTCTCCCAGCAGAGGAAGGTACTCGGTGGCACTTGGTTTGGTTTACGTTTATTTTAATTAGGATAAGAACATTGTGGTACTCCCAGACCGTGAGCCACTGGTCGCATGGCACAGCGCCATCAATATTAAATACGCAAAACAAATGTACTTGACCTTCTAGAGAAATGTGCAAATGTTAGTGCTTGGCAAGTCACATCCCTTCCCACACCTTACGGTGCGTTTTGTAATGACGAGGTTTGCTTGTCTGGGGACAAGAAGATGCTGACTCCACACTACACAGCCATCTACCCCACCCCAAGCCAGGTACCAATGTGCTGCAGTGACATTTCGAGCTCCCTGCTTCCCTTAGGGATGAAGTGAGCTTGCTTCTCCCAACACCAGGATACACCTTGGGGTAGGCAGGGATCTTGGATTGCAACTGTGCACAACTAATGCCCGATTGCCCCTTTTGTCCCCTTGTCCCCCTTTTTTTTTTAATATTTCCTCCACACAACAAACTCACACAGGAAATCTATCCACCAGGGATCATTTTTGGAATTTCATTAAAAGCTCTCCAGAAAAGCTGCAACTGTATTTAGGAGTGAAACCAAGGGTCCTTCCAGGAAGCACCGCTCACCTTCCCAAAGCCACGCCTCTCTCTACAAGAAGGGCTTGACGATTACCTGCTGTTTTTCCAGTGGCATACTCAACATCAACCTCTGACACCACTGCAATCAACGCCTTATCAGTGCTTCTGGGAAAGCTCCTTAAAATCCATTAGATGATCTAAACACACTTTAAGAGAGTTTCAAGTTACTTCTGTCATTAATCGTGAATTTTAAGAGCTGTCACAATCTACTGGCCACATATATTTATATAATGGTTAATAGAGAAAATAGTGTCATACTCTTTAAAAAGTAGACTAAGAGAATTCAATGCAGTACGGTTCTCATCACGCCCCTACCATCCCCGACCACAGCGGATGCGACATTCAAAGAGAGATCCCAGAGCAGGCCAGTTCCCAGCGCAAGGGCAGACTGCACTCCTTTGGCAGACTCCACCAGTCTACTCACTTGTCAGAGGACGCGGAACACGTCTCAGGTTCTTGCAGATCTCTCAAAATGTCTGAACTGGAGCTGAAGGGGAAAATAAAACAGATGGAAATTATTTTAGCAACATCAACAGCAAAGTAGGGCTCCACTTAGCAAAGGCAGTGGAATCCGTAGATGAGACAAACCTCTCCGCACAGCGCTGGCACCGAGAAGTAATTCCAACCAAGAGCACAGTCCAGCAAGTTCTGGCTCTGCATCACCTAATTTTCCGAGTTATTTCTGGTCTCATTTTCATTATTTAACATATACGACCATTCCCTCTGTTCACGTCTGCGTGTCGGTAGCTCCCATAGCTCTGTACTCACGGACACTGACAACTTCTCTGGAGAGGATTTGCAAGATGCTTCAGTGGGTGTAGTACAACATTCCAAAGAGTAACGGTGCTTACAAAAAAAACCTCAAGGCTTAAGTGGAAACTTACATTGTGACCACAACAACAACAAAAAATTAATCAACATCCAAGAAAAATTCGTCCCATTGAAACGGGTAGTGACAAACGTCCAGGCTGCCAGCACCGCCAGGTAAGCACCAAGCAACGTGGGCTTTGCCAGACCCCGCGGTTACTCAGCACACGAGCGGAGGTGGATCATGTTGAGCTGCCTGAAGCAGGTTTTCCTTGTCAAACCCACCTTCCGAGGAAAAGGCACTGAGGTGAACGAGGATTGAATAAGCCAGACGTGTCACAGCTTCTTTCTTAACCTGCTTGAAAAGATTATTCCATTTTTCATCTTCACACATAATTTTACATTCTAACAGGACAAGGAAAATAAACTACTTTAAGTCAGTATTTATATACTTGCAACAGGGGACACATCAGGTCAAACTCAGGACCGGTGCTGGACAGCTGAGGAGCTTCAACGTAAAGGACTTATGATGAACTACAAATAAATAAGAACAACCACCCTACATCATGAGTTTTATGGCAATAAATTGTCAATCTATTGATAAATAAAATTGTCAGCTATTGATAAACAACTTCTATTGCGCGTTCAGGCTCTGTGATATGAACCTACTGCAAAGTTCTCAAGCACAGGCCAAATCACAGGCTTGCAGAAACCAACCAGCAAGTTGGAAAACATTGTTTTCTGGAAACTATCTGAAAAAGACGCCTGGCAGCTCCAACAGTCTGTACATTATTGCAGAAATTCGATAGCAAACTGTGACACAAACAGTTGGGAGATTTTACTGTAAACCGTGGGCAGCGGTTGGGTTGGATACCAGTTCTCTTGGATTGGCTTTAAAGGTTTTACAACAAAATCAATCCCTGCTTGTTAGATGTCACCAGATGTAAACTGTAAAAACACACAGATATCAGTGCATTTATGTTTGTTCAAAACACATATTAAGGAAAACAGCCCAAAAATCCTCATTCTCACAAGACAAATTCCAGTACAGCAGAGTCTGATAATATGGACAAGCGCTGGGGTTTACAAATGGTATTTCTGCCAAAAAGAAGTTCTAACAAACAACATGTCTCACACCAGAGAGGTTGTCTTTGTACAGACGACCCACGCAGCGATTGACCGGGCACTTTTCAAAGGGGCAGCCCCATCTGCGGTCCCTGGGACAAAGGAGGCTGGAAGCAGCTCCCTGCCCGTCCCAGCCCCAGGACGCCCAGCACAGGTACCCACTCTGCTGCTGGCTTTTTCTAGCTCAGGATCGTTTTTTGCTGGATGAAGACTTCATGTAAACATACAGTAAACAGCACTGCTCACCAAGAACTACAGCTGACCGTCTTCGCGTTATCTCTGTTGGAGAGTCACAAATTAAAAAGCACGAACCGCTTCATACACAACTCCCACATCGAGTCTAACAGCTTGGCTCATTATGTGGTCACAGATTTTTGAGGAGTTCACCAAAACACTTAATATCACAACATATTGCATCACTACAGAGGAGATAATTCAAACAGGAGAAGGAATTTAAACCTGAATAATGTCATCAGGCAGCTGACACGGTTCATGGTGCACAGGAATGATCTGGGCACACCCCGATCATTCCCGGAGAGCCCTCGGGACACAGCATCTAGTTCAGGCAGGCAGCAGAGGGGCGCATTGCTGGGCTGCCCCTGCTCAGCCACCCGTTCCTCCCCTGTCACCCTGGGCTCTCCCGACCACGCACACGCTGTCGGTGGCTCCCGGTGCCCCGGCCAGCCCCAGCACAGCCCGCACTGCGGGTTCCCCCTGCCCATGGCTTAACCCCAGTGCCCCTCCTCAGCCTGGATCTCTCCCAGAGACATCAGCCAGCGTGTCCTCGCAGCAGGGACACAGAGCATCGCTTCTGCCACCTGGACGGGCTCTAAACGGAGCTGGGATCCAGCCTCGGCAACCTCCACATCCGCAGGGCAATGCGGCAGAAAGCACCAGCTCCCAGGACACACGGGAAGACCGGGAATCACTTGCAAACATTTTTTTTTTTAGCTTTTCTGAAATAAATTAATAAGTGGCATGCAACTTATGTAAGGTGGTGGGATTTTTTTTCATCCATTCCCATTTTGTCTCCTCCTGTTGCCTGTTCTCCCCTCTGAAATGAGATAAATCAGATGTTACTGTGGCGATAACTATAGAACCAACAGCATTTCAGGGGAGAAGAACAGCGCCAGAACAGAGAAACCTTTAACACAAGCACATTTAGTCATAAAATGAAAAGAGATACCAAAAATATACACAAAGCACCGGTGCCATATGGAGAAAATTACCGTGAAACAAAATGGATTTACAAGTTCTGCAATTTCAGAAACTATTCAATGGTTCCTCAGAACCTTTCATGAACTGATGAATAAATCTGTCGAATTACAAATGTTACCCAACAGAGTAGTTTTAATATGGAAACAAAGTCACCTGTGTTTTATCCCTGTGCCAACTATCAGTCCCACTGCCGGCAGTAACTGAAGGGGAGCAGGCACAGCCCAAGCCCCGCACGAGCGCTGGGGTGGAGGCGAGGAAGCCCTGGACACAGTCCATGGAAGGAAGAAAGTCGCTGTATCTTCCCGATCGCTCCTCAAAGCATGAGCTAAACAGGGCAACATCTGGGTAACGCCACGGTCTGCTGGGTCCGCTACAGCCCGCTGTGCTCCTCGCTTCCCAGCTCGCCTCTTCTCATCGCCTGGGCCCAGGCAAACGGTTAAATTTCTTATTTCAGCACCAGATCTATTATGAAATGTTCAAATGAAAAACATGGCAAAACACACCATAAAAGCAATGGTGGATGGGGAAAGTTTGGAAGTCCAGCATTTTTTTTTTTTACTCTTAAAATTATAAGTCCATCAAAAACTCCTTTTCAGTACACAAACTGGATGCCAAGCAATAAGTTATTATCATAATTCTAAATCTTACCCCCATGTTCCAGTTACAGTTTTTTAAAAAAGGGAGTGGGGAGGACAAGGGGCTATTTGTGTGCTTCCAGTCCCCTCAAACAGAAAAAGAACAGGTTTGGTGCCTGAACATGACGTACTGCCTTGCCTTGAAAAATGTAACGTTATTATCGTTTATCATCAACTGTGTTTGTCACAAGCAAAACAATAAAAGTGAAAAAATTTGGCTAACAGGCAGAACAATAATGCAAGCTCTTAATTTACATGCGTAATTCATAGCTTATGCCTACCAAATTGTTGTAAAACTGAGCACAAGATGTCCTAGAGTGAGTTACCACCGCAGCCCATACGGGCAGACGCGAACGGGCGATCAGCTCCAGAGTAATCAGAGCCCCTGGCGAACCACATCAACTCTTATGCTGTAATTGCACTGAGAAACGAGGATTTATGTACGTGACTGTACAAACCCAAGCTGCAGGTTATAAGCTTTCCAGCTGTAGCTAAAAACTCCTTTGTTTCAGAATTTCTTAAAACAATCCGTTGTTCCAAGCCAGTCACTCAATGAAATTGTTCTCTGCATCTAGTCTCTCTTAAATATCAATTTTATTATTTTTTTTTTTTTTTTACAAAGACTGAGAATTGTTTGATTTGGAGTTGAAGTAATTATCAACCTTTTTTCCACATGCAGGGGAAAAAAACCAAACCTCCTTAAATATGCCAGACAGTTGAAAATTATCAAAAACCATTTTCAACTAAGCAAAAGAAATTTTGACCACCAACAGAACTCATATTTTAAAATAATTCTTTTTCTTCCCCTAAAGAAACCTCCTAAGCTCCTCTCACCATTGAACGAATTCACTTGAACTGAAGAAAATGCCTTAAATAAAAAAGAAACAGCTATCTCATTGTGTATGTTGTTTCTGTAAATTTTAGCCCTGGGGGCCCAAAGAGATCACAGAATTTAGAAGAGTTTTGTTCATTTCCTCAGTATTTTCTGCCTTTTCAATACCCCCAGACAGGTGCCTATACCGGGGCCAGACCAAACCCCATCTTCAGCCTTTACTCAGACTCCCAATCCAAGGCAATTTCCCACAAGAGGTTTTCTGTCTTTTTCTTTCATAAAGGCCATTATTCTATCCTGAGATTTTACATATCAGCTCCGGGTGAGCAAATTTTTGTAACCAAACCATTAAAGTCCTGAACCTGAACGGCTCGGGCTGGCACAGGCTGGCAGCCAAGGGGACGGGAGGTTCCATCTCCTGGGCTGACGGCTCCAGGTTGAACCAAGCACGGCTCCAGCGGCTCGTGCAACGCCCCATCTCTCACTTTTCTGCAGGATTAGTTTCTTCTGAGCACTTACAGACATCAACCAAGAGTAAACTGTTCCTTTCCTGACCATCATTTGGATTTGACCTCCACCCCCCACCCCTCCTTTTCTTTTTTTTAATAAACACACCACCTCAAAACAGAGAGAAAAAAGCTGACGTAAGTGCGAATAACGTGTCTGGTTCTAAAAATGAAAGGAGCAAGTGTCTCTTTGAATTTGTTTATTTTAAGGCAGATTAAGTTCCTTCTTGGCTTCACGGTGAACAGCCAGTGTCCGTTAACACACAGCAAGACAGACCGATGATGTACTTGGCTCTGGCACGTGCACTGCACATTTTTTTCCTCCACGCTGGCACAAGAAATGAGCTACAGCCTGTCTCGTTTT